TACTTGGCTGACATGCAGATCAACGGATGTAGCAACACTTACTGGAGTCTGGCCTTTGTTGTTTCCAATCGTCATTTTATTGAAGTTAACCACACACTTCCTCGATAGTAGATAGTCCAATCCTAATATGCATTGGTCTTCAATGTTAGCCAAGTATACTTTCTGTCTGTTCTTCATGCCCATGAGCTCGACAGTTACCCACACTGGTCACCACAACCATGCAGAATGTCCTGTCACATCACAGAGCTTCTGTCCAGCTTCTGGTACTCCTTCGTGATCTAACACCTTGACGCTCACAAGGGTTTGCTGAGCTGCAGAATCTATGACAAAGTTGCACCTTTGGCCATCCAGCTTCCCTGTCACATAGACACTGTGTGTGCTTGGCATTTTACACTTAGCTGTTGGGACTTTCACGATGGGGTTGGTGGTCGTTGCTCAACACCAACCACTACTGGTTTCCTTGAGGCTGACTTGTTGGTAATATTCCTCCTACACAGGCTCCGCAAATGTCCGTGCTTTCCACAGTTCCAACAGCCTTTCTGGGTAGCAGCCTTTCCTGCTGTATCATCTCCCCTGTGCTGAAGTTGCCAGTATTGAGCTCTCTTGTGCCCAGGTTTATTACAGTGCCAGCAAAGTCCCTCAAACTTCTCTGAAAGCTGACCTTTTCTGGACTTGAATCCAGATGACTGTACCGACCTTGGTACATCTGTGCTGGACTTAACGTAGGATTCAAATTCGAGAGCTCTGGCCATTGCATCCTGCATGGTAGAGGGGTGTGCTTGCTTCATTTGTATATTAAGTTGTGGACTGTCCAAGGCATCTACGAACTGATCCCTCAGCAACAACTTGAGGAGATCGGGTGGTGCAGTTGGGTAGGCCTTGTGTGCCATGCTTTCCAAGTTCTGTGCCAGCTCTTGAAGGCTCTCCACTTTAGCACGGACTCTCGTCCTGAACCTAACCCTGTAGACTTCTTACTGATTTTGGGTTCAGTACCTGAGTTCTAGAGCCGCTACCAGTGCTTTATAATTGTGTCTGTCGTCTGCTGACAACTGTCCAAGTATACTTGGCTGACATTGAAGACCAATGCATATTAGGATTGGACTATCTACTACCAAGGAAGTTTGTAATTGATTTTGATAAAATGACGTTTGGGAATAACAAAGGCCATGTTCTGGTAACTGTTAAAAGAGAGGTTGAAATAATTAGGTGCCATCAAGGTGAAGTCAAAGTGACTGAAGAAGTTGATGATGACGAAGTGGAACCAGGTATCGATATCAAAGCAGAGCAGGAGAAAG